GGCGCCGCCGTCGCGTGCCCCGGACGGACGGCATCTGCGACAGGCACAGCGCGAGGTTGCCGCCCGCGCTGAAGCCGCCGAGCGCGACGCGCGCCCTATCGATCGGCAGGGACTCGTCGGCGATGGCGGCGAGGAAGAGCGCCTCGAGGTCGTGCAGCGCGTGCGGCCACGGCGTCCAGGGGGCCTTCCAGTAGTGTAGCGCGATGACGAGGACGCCGTTGAGGTCGGCAAAGCTGCGGTTCCACGTGTCGTCGTCGTCGGGGACGCCGATGCAGAAGCCGCCGCCGTGGATCGTGAAGAGCGTCGGGAGCGACTGCGGTGATGTCTGGTCGTAGTCGGAGGGGAAGAAGATGCTGTTCTCCAGGGTCAGACATTCTGTCCGCCCACACGAAGCTCGTTTCTCTTGTTCGGGGCACAAATTGGAACATACCGTATAGGCAAGGCCTTTCTGCAGTCATACTGCTTGATGAGGTCGGGTCGCATGGTGGGCGGATAGAAGTACGACACGCACGCCTCGAAGCCGGCCTTCTGGAAGTACCATTGCTGCAGCGACGAGATCTTGGTCCCGTACACGACGCGTTTGAGCCAGGACGCCACCGGTTGTTGGACGTGGTCGCTGCCGGGCTCTGCGTTCCCCGCGAAACCCATGGCTGGCTTGTTGTCGTTGGGGTATCCTGTCGCTGAGGCTTCCATCGAGGGCGATCTCAGGTGTGTTATATGGGCCACAAGATGCTTCTTCCGGACGCGATGAACGAACGTGTCTCGTATACAGGGAGCTCTGGAGGATCTTCTGCCGGGTGGCGATGACGATAGACGATGACGGCGAGGAAGACGACAACGACGACGACGACGACGACGGCTCGGATACAATTACAATAGTGGCAACGACTGACGACAACTAGGTACGGAGTCGGGTAGGTGGAAATTTCCGAGAGAGAAGCTGCCAGAACAATACGAAGCGCGTTAGCCCAAGTTTCTCCTCGTACAGACGACGGACGACTTCAGGCTGGGACGGGGAGGGCGGCAGGCCACAGAGACAACATCATCGTGCGTCTGGGCGCATTGGGAGGGGAGGGAGGACCGTGAGGAAGTACACCAAAGAGAATAAAGGGACGGAGTAAAGGCGCAGTCCCGTCGGCGTGCCGGGCTCTCGGTTTCAACGAGTTCTAGGCTCTCCGGTAGCGACTTGACCCTGATGAACGAGAGACGCAGAGTGGGAGAGCCCTTGCGGCGGGAACTACAGAGACGCCGAGTGCCCGTGGGCGACGATGTCGATGCAGGAGGAAGGGGCGCGCGGGGAGAGGTGGCGGATGGGAGAAGGGGGGGTGGGTGGAGGGCACAGGACAGGACAGGACAGGACAGGACAGGACAGGATGCATTTCGGACGAGAGACGCAGGGCGGCGGACAGACTAGACTCACGGGTAGATAGATGGCGATGTAGAAGAGGAGGGCGCCTGCGGAGAGCGCGCGGGAGACCATTGTTATGATGGTCGACTCGGGCATCGTGGCGGACGGCTGCGTCGCTGGCATCTTTTCCTCCGTGTACCGGTTTTTGCGATCAACTTTCCACTTCTCCCCTGGACAGAGAGCAGAAGGACGGACAGAGAGAGAGAGAGAGAGAGAGAGAGAGAGAGAGAGAGAGAGAGTGAGTGAGTGAGTGAGCCAGGAACAAGGGGCGACGTGTGGATGGCCAAGTTCATGCCGCCGCTGTCATGTCAAACACTAGGTCGGGTTCGAGCTCAGATCGCGCATTGTCCGGACGGAGCACTTTTGCATGATTGCATGTGCTTCGGCCCCAGTGCGTGTTTCTAGTTTCTTGGAGTCAAGAGAGGAGGGGAGGGGAGGGGAGATGGTTTAGATTTCCCCCGCCGCCGGAGCTTTGTCCAAGACACTCACTACCCCTTATCGTTATCGCCTTAATAAACCCCCTTGGCAAAGCAATGTCTAAGTCTAAGCTCGAGCTATTTGGGGGACGGAGGGGAGACCCCTGATGAGCCTAGGGGTCCCTCGAGGACAACGATGGATGGATGGATGGATCCATGGGCCGTCCCATCATCTTGCCAACTCCACAAAACGTGCATTTAACCCGATGGCCCTTCTCTCTTAATACTTATGTTCAGAGTGTGAGGAATTTTTTTTCCTTCTCTTTTCTTTTGGCGTGCGGACAGTAACCCGCGTGGTTTGGCTAAAGACCACCATCTTCCGCGGCTGGTTCGTGGCCGGAGCTCCGGCAGGCCTTCCGATCCCGGTCCGGGGAATTCTGCTCCACAGCTATCGTCAACTCGGTTGTAATTGCGGCTGGAAGAACTACCTGGCTGGGAGCCGCAGAAATCCATGGTGAATTTTCGCATAATACGTAGAAACAATCAAGTCCTCTCTCTGTCTCTCTCTCTCCAGAGTCAGAAGACCCCAACTTGACTCGAGGAACGCCTGGACTCGTGCATGTTCTCCATTCCAATCCTACTCTACAGCTGTGTAAGCGTAAACGAAACACATAATAGTACAAAAAAACGGTTGGCCCGTAACCGTCTACCCAGTGCATTCAGCCATCATTGTCGTCTACTCATTTCACAGGCCCGACGGTTTCTGCACCACCACCTCCTCCTCATCATCGGGATCCTCAATGCTCGTCCGGCGGGCAGCCTCGATGGCCGCCTGGACCGGCTTCTCATCGTCTCCCGTAGCTGCGTCGTCTGTAGACCCATTGTCTGCGTCAGGCTTGTCGTCCTTGCCATCTTTCTTGCCCGCGAACGGCCACAGGCCGCCGAAGGCTTTGCCCCCGGCCCCTCCCGGTGACGGGTACACGGCAAGGGGCCTCAAGATGCTCTTGTCGTTGGGATCCGTTCCTGGCGCCGGTTCCACCTCGGGCATCGCAAAATCGCCAAACTCCTCGTCTTCCTCGTCTGCGTCCGAGTCGTCCTGCCCGTCAAACTCTGCGCTCTGGCCCTGCTGTCCCCCGCCACGCCACCAAGATGCTTGGTCAGATTGGCCCCATGCACCCGACATTACTCCAGCCGCACCCGGGCCTTGGCGGCCGCCATCGTCCTCGTCGCTCGAGTTCTCCTCATCGTCCTCGTCGTCCGCGAATGGATTCGTCAGCCTTTCGCCCTCGCCAGATTCCGCTTTGTCGTCCTTTTCCCCCTCGCCATTCTCATCGCGAGATGCGGCCGCGGCTGCATTCTTCTGATGCATTGCTAACCGGGCCGCGAGTTGAAGTCGAGCTCTCGACGGCGGCGTGTTCAGTGGTGGCGGCGGCGGGGGAGGCGGCGGGATTGATGGCGGGTTTAGAGATGACGAGTTGCTCAGAGGGTCGGTGTAGGCCCGGAACTAGAGAAGCGAGTGTTAGCTGCGGCGGCCCGTCTCCCGATAACGGCGCACAAGGTAGAAAAGACTCCCGGAAGCAAGTCTTCGTCATCGTCGTGACGCAGTCATAGGGGGAGAAGGAGGAGGACCCTGTTCCCGAGAGGTTGCAGCGGATAAGAAAAGTCCAAAGTTGCCTGGTATCCCAAGGAACCGACGCCGGCGCGAACGGGGACATGTAATCCTACACTACTCGCCGCCCCAGTACATCAAGAGCACGCCCCAACACCGCCCAACGTTCCCGCATGTCCTCCCGGGCTACTTCATTCCTCCGTACCGCCGCCCACGCTATCTCTAGTCATTGTCCGCCTAAGCCATACCATCATGCTGAGGGGAGGCCGAATCATGTACATGTCCTCGTCCGATTCCTCGTCACCGAGTTCATCGGCCCAAACTTCCTGGTCATCATGATATACAAACACCGGTTCCCCGTCGTCTCCGGACACTTCTATCTCGAATCCAACGTCGTAACCGGCGCCGTCTGTGCTATCCTCTCGGGTTCTGCGAATACAATAGGGTCTTTCTTTCTCGTCTGCGCACTACGCATCTCTTTTCGAATCCTTGTCCCCGTCGGAATCCGGGTTGTTGTCAAGAAGTGATTGCGTCCAGGGGTCCAACGCAGGCGGTTCCGTCTCACGCAGCTCTGAGAGCACATCACTCACCTCGTTACCAACATCGTCCTCGTTCTCCTCTTCGCCCTCGTCTTCTTCGTCGCTAGAGCTGCCGAAGCCGGACATGAGAGTGCCCGAGCTGATGGCAAACGGACCGATGCCGTTGCCGCCGCCTTCTTGAAGGTCCGTGTTGCCGTTGAGTCCGGCCTCGGCAAGGGCGCTAGAGCCGGTATTCCCTTGCGAGTTGGAAAAGGATGATCCAAGGCCGGAAAGACCGACGGCCGCCAACCCGCTGCCAGACATGCCGGCGCGGTTGCCCAGTGCCACCTCGGGGCGGACACCGCCTAGGATGGCGTTGTCTCGCTCGCGTGTCTCGGCCAGTGCACCCTCTACGTAGCTGATCCATCGCGGGTCCATAACCCGTTCGAGGACAGTCTCTGACAAGAGCTCCGGGGGGTGTCGTTCCGTAAACTTGACCACCTCTTCAGCGATCAAAGTCAGATGGCCCATGTACCCCATGCGAGTCTTCATCTTGGCCTGTGACTCGTCGCTAGCGAGCTGGCCATTGATAATTGCCGTCGTGATGTCCGCGGCCTCGAATAGTGATATCGCCAGGGTCGGGTTGTAACCCCTGTCCATGGGCCCGTTGAAAACCTGCTGAACAATATCATACACCACGTTATGGAGAAAGTTGTTCCAGGGGTAGGCAAAGAAGAAGGACTGCTCGCGTGTCAGCCCGGCCACATGTCACGTCCCGTCACAGTCAACTCACCAGGATTGTAGGCACAACGCGGTGTTCCACAAACTGAACCTTGAGGTAATCGCCAACCACCGGCTTCACAGTGCTCGGGTCGGGCCGCTGAGGAACCGCAGGCGGCAAGTCACCGGCCTCCATCTCCGCACCGTGATCCGCTCCCGAGGGCGCCGGGGCCTCTGGCGCTTCGGGAACCTCGGGAGCCACGGGCACCTCGGGGGCTGGCGCAGTCGCCGTATCTTTTCTCTGCTCCGGCTCGCTCTGCACCGCTCTCGAGCCATTATCAGTCACTGACATGGAGAACAAAGGCGCCGGCATGTCTTCGGGGTGCTGTGGAGAGTCGTCGGAAACCGCGGCAGAGGTTTCTGCGGGCTCGGTCTTTGCCTCGGACTCGGTGGCGCTAGGGGTGTAGACGACTGACGAGTCAGACTCGTCACCCTTCTGGTTCTCCTCGGAAACCGGAGCTTGATCCGTCTTGTCGTTGAGGGAAAGTTCCTCCACCTTGGTGACGGTGGCGTCCTCGGCGGTCTTGTCGTCTTCGGGGTCGGGTTTCGCGTCCTTCTCTGTCTCTGTAACAGCCGCCTCTTCCTCGGCCGGCACATCACTCTTGACGTCAGCAACTTCTGGCTTCGCCTCCTTGTCGGCGCTGGGTTCGGAGTCCACCGCGGCGGGGGCCTCTTCGCTCGCGGGGGTCTTGGGCTTGCTCGGCGAAAGGGGCGCAACGACCAGATCGGGGTCATCAAACTGCTGCTCCTTGATCCTGGTGTCCGCGACGAGCAGCCTAGGCGAGCTCAGCGGCTCGTCCACAAAGTCGTCCTCGTCCTTGTCCAAGAAGGACGCAGGCGGGGCTGCGACGGGAATCTCTTCTTCGGCCTTGATAAATTCGTGGGACGTGTCTTCGTTCATTTCGCGGCTTGGTTCAACCTCTTCGAATCCGTCATCGTCTGAGATATTGGTTACCTCTAAACGGCGTCCCTCCTCGGGAGAAGAATGCCCAATGCGCATCGTCGAGTCGTCGGTGGACAAGGGTGCTTCTTCTCCGCGGTTTGGGGTAAGCTTACCCTCCATTCTCAAGCGCTGACGCTCGGCATCTCTGGATGCAATCAAATCTTCGGAGCCGACTTCGTTCAGCAGGCCCATGTTACTGCAGTGGAGCAGCTCGGCCATCAACTCGCACGTCTTAAATCGGTCGAATCCGAGGGGCTCGATCTTGTCGCCAAAGGTAGATCCCAGTCGCTGTTTCTTGACGGGGGAGTTCATGATGAGGTTGACAAAGTCGGGGACGTGCTGGGCGAATAGGCGGAGGAGGGTGCCTAGGTAGATTGGATCGCGGCTCGACGGGACGGAGTTGGTTTCGGTGCCGACGTCAGGGTCGTAGTCGGAGTTGTTCTTCCGGATCACTTCAATGATGATGCCAACACCGACGGTCAACGGGTTTCCACCTCCTAACATGTACTTGATCAGCTGCTCAATGCAAGGTTGCGACACCAGCTGGCGGGTAAGTTCGTTGGGGCCGATGCACTGTTGCTCGTTCTGGGAAGCGTTGGCAGAAATGGTAATGATGGCCTTGATGAAGTCGCCTGCGGCCGTCTGCACGACCCAGCTGTGCTCTGGGCTGAGACACGAGAGCAGAGTCGGTACAACATCTTGGGAGTGAAGCCACTAGATGGAGAGAAGGTCTTGTCAGTCCGGGGCGTTAGCAAACAAGCGAGCTACGCCGAAACTTACCTCCACGATGCCCTGGCCGCCCTCGGTGCGGTCGAGGGCAATGATCTTGAGGAGCAGGTCCATGATCATGGGGCACTCGACGTGACGGAGAAGGTCGGGGACGGCGTCGGGCAAGGACTTGAGCAGGATGACCATTTCCTCCGTCTTCTTATCGAACAAGGCCTCGTTGACCTTTGTGAAGTAGCTGGCCTGCAGAGGGTCGAGGGGCGTAGGGCGCTTGAGGAACTGCCAGAAGTCGCGAACCAGATGCTGGTTTTCCATCATGGCTTCGTAGATGGACCAGGTGTCGGATGACAGGACCTCGGCAGCAACGTAGGCATAGCGATTCCGCTTCTTCTCTTGCTCCTCCTCTTCATTCTCGGGTTCGGTGGCTCGCGAGGAGGCGCGAGGTCTTGAGAAGGGGAGGAGGCGGCCCTTGGTCTTGGTTCCTTCGACGGGTTCGTCAGGTTCCGGGGCAGCAACGGGCTCGAGTTTGGGTGCAACGACATATTCGAGCAGTGTCTTGAGGACGTTGTCCTCTCGGAGGTACTCGATGAGCTTCGTGTTGTGCTGCTTGAGCTCTTGGATAAGGTCGCTCTCGTCGAGGAGGTCTTCGACGGTGAAATCGGGTTTCTCGAGGATGGTGTCGATGGTGGATATGTTGGCGTAACCGCCAAATCGCCAGAACATGGTAACGGTGTTGAGAGACGACCTATGTCACGGCGCCCGACGAGTCGCGGCGACGATTGACACAGAACAAGGAAATGGTTGATTGAGCAACAGTCCCAGAATGGAGCATGCGAAGGTCGGACACCAGCCGGGATGGACAAGGGCGAATGGGGGTTTGCAAAAACAAGAATACAGTTGGAGGATAACGAATGCTAGATGTCGTCGTATTGGATGCCAGAGCCTCGAGGCATGCGAAAGGTCGTACGTCGTCCGTCAGTATGGGTATCGATCAGTCAATCCGGATGCAGCTGGTTGGAGCGACGGAACAAGGTCAGCAACGCGATCCACGGAGCGGGTGATGTTAAGCGGTTGGTAGGTTGGAAAAGGAGGAGGAGAAGGAGGAGGAGGCGATCAGATGCGGTGGTCAAGTGTGCAGGTGATGTCGCCGGCGGAGGGGAGGGGCCGGCGCATCGGACCAAAAAAAAAAAAAAAGAGGAGCTGATTGATAATGGAGGGGGGAAAAGATGAGGGAAAATTCGGTGCAGCTTGCGACGGTAGAACCACCACGGAGAGAGTGATAGAGAGTCAGAGAGTGTGTGAGAGAGATAGCAGGGATGGGTGGGACACCAGATGTCCGACGCCGACTGATAGTGAGATTGTGTTGCAGATGTCGACCTGACAGTCAGCGCGCACGCGTGCACTGTCTTGAGGCGGATGAGGCAGCGAGAGTGAGTGAGTCGAGTGGGAGGGGAGGAGGGGGGAGGAGAGACAGAGCAGACGGAGAGTGCAGTAGGGCAAGGGGAGGTGGTGCAAAGTGGAAAAGGCGTACCTACTACGGTGTAGGTAATATGCGTATGTGTGCGTCACTCCAAGCCTCGTTTAGAATAGAATGAGGGATCCGGATGCCGGGGGGCCTTTCTTCGGGCTTGGGTAGTGATGGTTGTCGTCAGGTCGTCAAGGTGGCGGAGGGATTTGGGAATCGTGGGATGGCGGTGTCGCTCTGTGGGGGTGAGTGGAGGGAATGTTTAGGAACACATCAATAAGCGTGAGCAGCGAGACGATGAGATGGGACAATGAATGAACGTCGTCGAGATTTGGATCGGATTGCGCAGCAGTATAGGATGGATAGTGCAAGGACGGTTAGGTAAGATAGCCTCGGGAGGAATCCGTACACTACCCAACCTGTGGCCCAATCAATCGTTGACTCGCTGCTAGCGTTGTCGAGTCGGAGGGGGGGTCAGCCTGTCCCCGGCTTGGTTTGTTTGTGCGGACAGAGTATGTACCGTACCTACACTATGTGTGTAGGTAATGTAGTAGCAGTTTTTTTTGTATAGTAGTAGCAGAGAATATGTGTATGTTGTGTGTTTGTTTGTGAACCGTCGGGTGCAGATGTGGACTGGACCGGTATCCGTGTGTATGTGTATGTGTGTATGTATGAGTGTAATGTGTGTTGTTGTGGTATATGTGTGTGAGTGAGTGAGTGAGTGAGTGCGTGTGTGTGTGTGTGTGTGTGTGTGTGCCCTCGGAGCTGGGGAAGTTGGGCGGCGTGTGGCGCGAGAAGAGAGAGGGGAGGGGGGTAAGTAATACTGTGCGAATGAGTGTGTGTCTTGTCTCTTCCCTCTCCTTCTTTCTCTCTCTCTCCCTCTCTCCTTCTCTCTCTCTACTGTCCCTATCTGGTTTCTTTCTTTCTTGATTTATCCGTTGCTCTCCCTAGCGTATCTATCTTTCTTCAACCACACTCGGACCGAGCAACAACAACACTGGCCGGGATGCCGGGAATGTTGGCCGGGTATTGATTACCATTGGAAGGAGACGCCAGAGGACACACTAAGCACTGAGACTGAGCGCACGAGGCCCTGCAATTGAGGGGGGGCCTGGGAGTGTCCAATGCGTGTATGTCCTCTCGGCACAGAGTAATACTGCTGCAGACCTGTACAGGTATTTCCCTTGTTCCGAGTACGCCGTTTGGCACAGAGTGACGGCAGGGTGAGTTTGTTGTCAATCTGTCATCGTCATCGTCCTTGTTATTTTTTTCAAATTTTTTTCCCCATCATCGCCGTTGCCTGACAAGGGGAAAGGGGGAGAAATCAGGTTGCTGCTCAAGCAGGATGAAGAGATCTGCCAACTTGCTTTCGTCACAGGATGCATACGTACATACTTCGTATGCACGAGGGTTGTTGGGATCATGGAGGGCTAGAGTGGGGTTGAAGTCGTGCCCAGGTACCCAACTCACTCCCCCCCGGTAGTTAGGGCAGATTACGGATAGTTCCAGATTGGGTTGGTTGTATTTGCTTCCCGCCCACTTCTAGGCCCTGCTACCTGCGGGTGTAGTGTACTGTGTGGGAGCGAGAGGAAATGCAGACAAGGTCGAGGTGGTGTCCGTACTGCCTTCACCCCATCCGATGCCCAGTGGCCAAACATCAAGCAACGGAAGCCAAGCAACGTGCTGGCAACAGACCAAGACACGCCAAAAAGCCCACGGCCCGGGAGTCGTGCGTGCAAGACGCAAATCCGGCGGTGGCGGCGCCTTCACCATCAGATTCCGGAGAATACCCATCGAGACGACCGACTCCCGAGCCGCCCACCTAGCCTAGCTCGTTCCGATCGCAGACGACAAAAAAAGCAATGGTGAGACGGTCCGCGCGCCCAGGTCTGTCCCCTCTTTCGGCTCGAGTCTCTTCTTTCCACCCCGTCTTGTTCTGTTGAGACTCTACTGTTATGCACTTCCTTGCTGCAGTGGGATGGGGGTTTCTGGTCCTCGCCTAATTGACCAGACCAGGCCAGACCAGGCCGGAGAAAGAGTCCGAATCTCTTCATTCGCTGTGTCGGGATCCCTTCCCCTCCACCTCTCTCAAAGTATCGAGTAATGAGCGTCGATGAAGGGTCCTTCCCGTGACTTTTGTGTGAATCCGATAGGGTCCGGCCTGACGTGATGCCACCCAAGGCCGGTGGAGTCTGGGATGCCCCTCCATTGCTTCCCTCCCCCCACGCACACACTGGCTGGATAGCTCTCGACTTGCTTTTTGAAGGGCGTCTTGTGCAGCTCGTCTGTTGATTCGTTGCGTTTGCGGCTGTATATAGCAGAAACACGCATATCGAAATGGCAGACGGGGGGAAAGAAAGAGTACGGTAGGACGTACTTGGCGGAAGTACCTCGGCCAAGTGGTTCTGCTTGGAAGGAAGCAACGAGGTACGTACTTACATTCCTTCCTGATGCTAAATCTTCTTGGTTTCATGCATATGCTCCATTAATCCAATAAAATCATTCTATCAGTTAATCCGTTACATCATGACCCTGCATATTTAATGCCTCTCTTATGCTTCCCCAGCCCATCACCAGACAGACTCCGGAGCCAGCTGTGGAGCGAGGCCAAGTCCCAAATGTCGCTTCTCTCTCCCCCCCAGTTCGCAAAGCTGTTCAAACTTCTCTGTCCACAGCCTTGACCCTTCTTTCTTGCTGAAGATATGCTACGAATTGTCTACGTGGATCTGATCCTTGGGAAGCAGGTAATCAAAGTTTCACCGTGGCAGGATTACCCGTTTTGTTAGCCGGTTTTTGGGCAGTCGCAGCGGGCAGCTAACGCGGGGGAAAGTCAGCTCGAGGCATGGAGTTCAGGAGAGTGCATTGCTGCGGCACACACTGAAGTGACGGTTCATCACATAAATGTTGCGCTCTGCACATAACCCTTCATAAACATATATGCCACTTTTGCTTTTTTGGTTCTTAACGGTCAATTCATCTTCCGGGGCGATTCTTTCTTCAAAGTAACCTCGAATCATCCATCTCATTACTTAAAACTTGTAACCAGCTTCCGCCAGCTGTTGGCCATACTACGTGATATTAGCACCACAATCATATAACAAAACGGGATAGTTCATACCTTCTTAAGGCGGATGGACTCGATCGCGATGAAGCCGGTCTAGAAAGTATACGTTAGCCGTTTGCCTTCTTTGACTTCAATGTTGATTCAGAACGTACCGCATCAGCGGGATCGAAGGTAGTGAGGGAGTCCATAGAGGCATCCTCCTCGGAGTACAACTTCTCCGGGGACCTGCGGCCAAGGACGTAGGCTTGGCCCTTGTACAGCTGAAGGCGGACTTCACCGTTAACCTGGAAGAGTCAGTATGATGTTCAATCTCATTCAAGGCAAATCATCCTACCCGTTCTTGGGCGAAGTCGAGGCTTGCTATTAAAAAGGTCAGCATTTATCCACTACCTCGCCATACAGTTTCGACGTACGCTGCAGGAATTCTCTCTCGGGACTGTAGTAGAGACCATTGTAGAGCAGCTGAGACCATTGCTTGCTCAACGTATCGCGGGCAGCCCTCAGACGGCCATCGAGAGTACTAGCATTTAGGGTCAGCTCATTGTATGTGAATAGATAGGTGCATTGCACTCACAGGCCTTCGATCGCGATGTGAGCCACACGAAGGATCGTCATGGCGGGAGAGTCTGAAGAGAGTCAGTACAGGCCTAGGCATGCTAGCGGAATGACTCACCGTAGCAACCCCTAGACTTCAAGCCGATCAAGCGGTTCTCAACGATATCCTGGTACAGTTAGATACAGGTACACCTGGGCTTGCGACAGCGGAGCAGATTGACGTACAATGCGGCCAATGCCATGCTCCTTGCCGAGCGCGTTAAGGAGCTTGAAAACCTCGACGGAATCGGTCACCGTCTGCTGGGTTTCAAGAGTCACAACCTTGACAGGGATACCCTTTTCAAAGTGAATTGTGATGTGGGCAGGGGTATCAGGAGCCTTGAGCGGGGAGACAGTCATGGTCCACATGTCCTCAGGGGGAGTGACGTCGGGGTCCTCAAGCATGCCGGCCTGTTGCAAGTTAGCCATGTTTGTCTGGGCATCCGCGAATAGACAGACTTGCCTCGTACGAGCAGTGCGCGAGATTGGCATCCATCGAGTACGGCTTGGCCTTGGTGGAAGAAACGGGGATGTCTGAGCTATCTTAGCCATCAAAACTCGGCACGAAGATTGATCCAATCTTACTCTTCTGGGCTGCGTATTCAAGAAGATCGTTGCGGCCCTAGTTGGCGACGTTAGTGAGAGAAACATGATGGGGATGGGCAAGCTTGGCACTTACTTGGAAGCGCGAGGTGAACTCGGGCAGACGCCAGGGGCTGATGCACTTGATGCTGGGGTTGATGGTGTAGAATGCGAGCTCGAATCTGACCTGATCGTTTCCTTTGCCGGTCTGTTCCCGTTAGCACCTGAACATAATGCAGAGCCGATGCAAACACTTACGCAACCGTGGGACACAAACTGGCAACCCTCTGTGGAGAAAATCGTCAGCAACGGCATGCCTGTCTGATGGTTCGACACGTCCTACCCCGAGCGGCAGCCCTCATCATGCCGCGGGCGATGACAGGACGAGCCAAGCTGGTACCCAGCAAGTAGGTATCTTCGTATTGTGCGTTGACCCTGACGGCCTTGAAGCAAAGGTCCCTTCACACTCTGTCAGCCAGCGAGTTCGACCGATGGTGTATGTATAGTGCATGCAATGGACTCACTCAACCATTTCGCGCTCGAGATCGTCGATGATCATCTGGTGTCGAGGTAATGAGAATGCAGTCAATTGCAGTTCGGGTCATATCGCGGTACCTTCTTGGCGCCCATCTGGAGAGCTGCGCGTGGTGGAGTCAGAGAGGGGATTCCAGCAAACTTGGAGGGGGGTTCTTCAGTGACTCACCCTTCTTCTCGACGGCAGCCCAGTCCTCCTCCTGGCCAACATTGGCGATATATGCGCTTGTATCGTCAGTAGGGCAGTTCCAGCAGTACAATTGCGAGGGAAAACTAACACGACCTCATATCCCTGGTCAAGCAGCCAGGCGAGAATGGTCGAGGTGTCGAGCTTCAGGATGGATGGTCAATCAGTATGGCCCCCGTTATAGCAATAATAATGGTGTCATTGGGTTCGTTCGGGGACCTACACCACCTGAGTAACTATTGGCGTTGGGTTAGGTTCAATTTGATTCTCCAAGGAAGTCACGGGACAGATAGACGTACGCGAGGCACACGGTACCCTTGGACATGTTGACGAGTTGTTGCAATTGATTGATTGATGTATAGGTAAGTTCAGCTTCTTGGACGCAAGGCAAGGAGGGTTGTTTGGAGGGGTAATGTAATATCTGTTTGGCAAGTCAGAGGGGTGGAGGAAAATTTTTGTTGTGCGCGCGCTCTCTGTCTCTCTCTCGGCAAAACTTTGCTCCTCGAGCCGCATACCTATTTCAGAAGGAACGGCAAAGTTTATCTCCAGCGATCCGCGACTAAGGTACCTACAGTAGTGTACACGTACCGTACGTTATCCAGGCGGTCGGTCCTCTCGAGGACTGCACAGGTAGGTACACAATCGATAGTGACACAATCGGAAAAGTTTATCTCCATCCGTGACAACCCCCCCTGCCTCGCCCCCTGACACTCTCCTGTCGAAATGATTGGCTCTAAGGATTCTTCAGATCTATTGGTTGCAGCCATTTCTTTAGTTGTATGGACCCGTCAGCTGCTTAGGGTCATAACTTTCTAACCTATCCGTAATTAAACAGAAAATCGATACAGCTGCTCCTCAAGACTCATAGTTAATGCTTTTGATCACGTAGGCAG